ACCACAAATAAGGGAGAACATGCCTTTGGCTTTCTGGGTCTGAATGACCACATTCAGTATAAAATTTCCTAGTTATACCCATTTTCCTGAAATTTCATGATTTTATATTCACTTACAGCTCACTAAAATCCAACGTAAGTCCACGTTTTCATTATCCTTCATCAGAAGGACATTTAGGTTGTTTCCATTTCCTAGCTATTGTGACTAGAGCAGCAATGAACACGGATGACCCAATCTCTGTGGAGTGGGATGTGCGGTTCTTTAGGCATGTGCAGAGGAGTAGTATATCTGGGCCATACAGTAGATATACTTCTGAGTTCTGAGAATTCTTCATGCTGATTTCCAGAGTGCCTGCACCAGTTTGCAATCCACCAACAGGGAATGAGGGTCTTTTTTTCGCCCACACACTAGTTGGTATTTATTGTCTACTGTTTTCTTGATCGTAGCCATTCTGATGGGGCAAGAAGGAATCTCAAGTAGATTACAGTTTATGAGCCTTTCAGATTTGCGTGTCCCTAATAATGTTGTCTATTTTTTGAGATATTTCTTAGACAGTTTTCTTTCTTCTTTTGAGAACTATATGTCAATTAGATTACTTTCTTGGTGATTTATCTCAAGTTCATTATATATCCTGGATATTAATCCTCTATCAGACATACAGCTAGAAAATATTCTCTCCCATTCCATGGTCTTAGAACCTAGAGGAGAACCCACTACTACTACTTTTCTAAGCCAGTGTAATTAGCCAATCACATCCTAAATTATATCCATATATCTACAGATAGGTTCAGCTCTTGCACCTCATCAAGGCAGCTTCTTTCTGCAGTAGACAGAGAGCATTGCAGAAAGCCATAGCTGAACGGAACTCTGAGAACAACTTACTGTGGGATGCCCAGCCCTAAATAACACATTTACAACACAATCTCCCACACCTAAGGCTCAGAAAACAGCATAGAAGATGAGGTGGAAAGATTTTTTAAATTTATTTATTTTTATTTTATGTGCATTGGTGTTTTGCCTGCATGTATGTCTGTGTGAGGAACTGGGGTTACAGAGTCTTGAGCTGCTATCTGGGCACTGGGAATTGAATCCTGGTTCTCGGGAAGAGCAGCCAATGCTTTTTAACTACTGAGTCATCTCTCCAGCCTGAGGTGGAAAGATTTTAAGAACCAGAGGGCCAGATTAGGTCTTTTATATGTTTATTACAGGGAAGTCATATCCATGAACTCTCAACAATATTACTGAAGTCTAAACAAACCCCAGACAATGACAACATCAAAAGACAAGCCAATGTGGACAGGGAAAATCTCACAAGGCCTCACCCCTAGATGGAAAATTATGGGTAACGAATGACTAGTGAGAGAGGAAAACTTAAGTCTTCTCCACTACCCTCATTGGTTATCCAAAATCAAGTGGCCAACCATAAAACATATCCATACAAGTAACACCCAACAGATTCAGTAATTGTGTTTTTATATTTGTATGTATGTATCAGTAATTTTAAAAACTCAGAGGGTGCCAAGGTGTAGGAGGTGGACCTGGAGAAGCTGGAGGAGAAGTCAAGCATGGGGAAATAGGATCAAAATACATTGTATAAATTTCTCAAGGCATACAAATTTTATATTAAAGAAAGCCAACCTAGAGGCTAAAAGGCAGAGCAGAGCAGGATTTCTCACGTCATGATATTCAGGAGGCAGAGAATGAGGGAATGGAAAAGAGGCAAGACCTGATAAGACATAATCTTGAAAGGGATGCCTCTATTGGACCACTTCTTCCAATTAGATCCCACCTTCCACTACTGACATTATTATGAATGCATTAACGAACTAATCCATTGATTAGGTTAGAGATCTCAGGATCCCATCAGTTCCCCCAAACCCATCTTTGAACACTATATTGGTGGCCAAGCCTTTAGCACATGAACCTTGGGAAGATATTTTTGTACAGGCGCCAATCCTGCTCAAACTGAAACTTAAAGCTTGTACGTTCTCTGCAATCTTCCTTGGCACTAGATATGATGGTAGAATACAACATTATTGGAAACCAAGAAAAGGAAAAGGTTTTACTTCTATCAGTCCTGGAGTGTGAGGCTCTATGAGGCGTCAGGATGGGTGTGTGTGTGGGGTGGGTGGGTAATAAGGCTCATAAACTGTAATCTACTCCTTTGACCACACATCTCTTGTAGCTGATAATAGTGAGATACCAGTGACCATTGGCCAGTCCTATTGTTGCCACCTATCTTTAGGCGACCAGCTGTCAGGATCACCCAGTAAAGAGGAAGTATGCATCCTGATCTGCGTGACCCATCAGTTTCCCTGTTTTCTCCTGCAGGTTCCTCTAACTCAAGAGCTTGTGCTCAACTCTGATTTTCTCTGCTAGGTCTCGTCCCAGTTGTCACACTCCCTGTGGTAGTTTGAATGTAATCCCCACCCCTCATAATTTTATAGAGAGTGGCACTATAAGGAGGTATGACTTTGTTGGAATGGGTATGACCTTACTGGAGGAAGTGTGTCACTGTGGGGGCAGGCTTTGAGGTTTCCTATGCTCAGGATACTGCCCAGTGTCATAGTCTCCTTCCTGTTGCCTGCAAGATGCAGAACTCTCAATTACCCTTCCAGCACCATGTCTGCCTGCATGCTGCTATGCTCCCCACCACCATGACAATGGACAGAACCTCTGAAGCTGTCAGCAAGTCCCTCAATTAAATATTTTACTTATAAGAGTTGCTTTGGTCAGCTGGGCCGTGGTGGCACATGCCTTTAATCCCAGCACTCAGGAGGCAGAAGCAGGCGGATCTCTGTGAGTTCGAGGCCAGTCTGGTCTACAAGAGCTAGTTCCAGGACAGGTTCCAAAGCCACAGAGAAACCCTGTCTCAAAAAACCAAAACAAACAAACAAACAAAAAAAACCAAAAAAAACCCCAAAACAAAAACAAACAAAAAAGAGTTGCCTTGGTCATGGTGTCTCTTCATAGCAATAGACACCCTAAGACACTCCCCTTCCACTAATAAAACTGTTTCTACCTGGGAAAAAAATGTATTTGTGTCATTAGATGCATTGAAAAATAGTCATTTTGAAGGTTTTCTACTGGGGAACAAGATTTAATGTACTTTTCATATGTTTAGATACAGAAATAAGGATGCTCAGACAAACAGTTAGAGAGGTATTCAGGTTGACCAGATGGAGGAAAGAGTATAAACTCACAAGCAATTACCAACTGGTGTCTTTAGCTCCATTGGCTGAACAAGGGTCCGCTGTCTAATCTCAGTTTTCTCTACTTATTGCAAGAACTAGCAGAACTCTAGCTTAACTGGCATGCTTTCAAAAGATTCGTTTTTTAATAACATTGCAACCATTTTCCTAAGTGATAACAAATGCTATTATAAACTATTATAAAATACAATCAAAACTCATGTACTGGGCTAAGACCAATCGCATGTTTGAGAGACTAAGAATCATAAACTTATTTTGACCCATAGTATTCTCTACGAAGATGTTATAAAAATAAAAACTGAAATCTGAAAGGAAAACAAAAGCAGTTGGGGGTGAGCAGTGACATAGTTGGCAGGGAAAAGTACCTGTGGTACAAAGCTGGCAACCTGAATTTAAGCCCAGGAACCTATGCAGATGTGGAAGAAGACAACCACATCCACAAAATTACTCTCTGACCTTCACATGTGGGACACGGCATGTTAAGCGTGCTCATACACCATGCACAGGCAAATATACAAAACAATAAACAGTGTGTGCTTGTGGGTGTGCACGCGCACCTGCGCGCGTGTGTGTTGGAGCATGGATTTAATAATCATGTCCTACTTTACTTCCTAACTTCAGAGCTGTAGAGGTGTCAGATTTGAACCAGAGGACCATGGGAGTCAATTCGAGAGACAGTGCTGAAATAAATGGCGATGTTTTCAGAAAGTTATCGTTTATAGGACCACAATGGTCAACAAATATCCCGAGTCCCTTCCTTCATCACCATTTTCAAACAAGCTGGTGAGATGTCTTCTCCAGGTTCACGTAATTTTTAGTTACCAGATCTTAGGCATCAAAGGCTGCCCCCCAGGTTGATGGACAATCCCTTTCTTATGTGATTTTCAATGCTACCTAAAAAGGGGAAAATATCATCCTAGTGTTCTTTCTAAACATTAATTTCTCCCCCACAAAGGGGCAGGTAATACCATTGGCCAACATTTGGGCATGGGGCATTAAAGGTCCCTAAAGAGAAATTGAGGGGCTTTGGGACTCTCCAAGTCAAAAGATAGTGGGGAGGTTAACGCGAGCTGCTTGGGAGAAAGAATGGCATAACAGGATATACTTTCAGAGGAAACAGGAGCTGCGTTAACCTCGGGGCAGGAAAGGCGGAGTCAGCAGCGCAACACCCAAAGAAACCCGCGCGCCAGGGATTACAAGAACGTGGCATGCTCAGTGACTCTTCCTAGCCCGCAGGTGCCAACCACAGGCCTCCTGGTACCAGTCATTATTAAAAAAAAAAAAAAAAAAAAAGTACCCATCGGCTCTTGGCCATCCCTGCCAAAGATCAGCAATGGAGGAGCAGCAAAAACAAACGTCAGACACCGCTGCAGGTGAACTAGGCAACAAGTCAACCCTAGACACAAGTCCCTGTCCAGAGGGGACCTGGTTTGGGCGGGGGTAGGCCCTCACGCCTGGGAAAGGGAGGCCCGGGACTTGTGGGTATGCGGCTTGGGTGTGGGAGCAGGTGCTCTCGGGGCTTCCCTCCCGCTTCCCGGGGACTGACGCACGCTCCCAGAGCGCGCGCATCTTCCACGGATCCAGGCCCGAGGGAGGGAAGGGGGATGATGCTCCTCCCGCACCCGAATCCGGGGCGGACGAGGTGACCCGCCTGTTACCCGCCGCCCGCAAAGGGCAGCGGCGGCAGCCGTGGCTTGGCATTCCCAATCGCCCTGGCTGCCGGGCGTCTCCCGCTGCAGCATGCAGCCCGCCCGGCTCGCCCCCGCCCCGGTCCCGGAGGGCAGGTACCTCGGAGCCCCGGCCCCTAGGAGCCTCCCGGCGGAGATCCGAGCGTCCCTCCAGCTCCCTGCGCCGACGTCAGCGTCAGCTCTGGCGAGGGAAGGGGCGGGGAGCGCAGGAAGCGGTCCTTCCTGCAGCGGCCGCCGCCAGCCGGAATAGCAGCGCCGAGCCCGTGCACGCAGCAGCGCAGCACCGCGGCTCGAGCGGGCACCCCCACCCCGCTACCGCCAGCACCCGCAGCCTCCCTCCCTCGGGGACAGCGATGGGCGACCGCTCTTGCCACGACCCCCGGCATCCGGGTGGGGAGAGGATGGTGGTCTCACCTTGTTTGCGGCGAATCAGGGATGAGAGGAGCCGGTGTCCGTCTCTCTACTCCTTAGGGTCTTGCGTGGCCCTCATCTCTAGGATTTCCCGTTTGAACTTGCTGTCGGAGATAACCCCGCCCCTGCTGTCTGGCAGGTGTTCCACGTGTCTGTAGCATTCGCGTCACAATGACCTGTCTACAGGTGGCCAAGGCAGAGACCGCCCCACACTTCCCTCCTTGTACTGTTAGGAGTACGTGCTACTTCCTTTAGAGTTTGGCGTCTTGAACAGACGGGGTTTCATGAGGTCAATGCCAGAACTGTAGAGGTTTGCTTCTGGAACCCAAATTTGTGCTTAAAGGCAAAAGACTGTGGTAAGGAAAAAGAGCTGGCTATGAGTATTCATACCTGTTTTTCATATCCATATGCCACACCTGTGTCATTTACTCGTTTTTGACACAGCATTTCATCCCTTCTTATCCTTTGTCACAAGAACCAAATCGCAGTTTCTGAAGTACCTTGTCTATCACAGGAAAGGGGTGTGAAATAGCGCTTCCTAACACTTATTGATATAGTTGCTAGGGTTCATCCCTCCTTTTATGTCTATAGGTAAGTTTGCTAGAAACAGTTCAGCGGGTAGAAAGAGAAATTATCGGAAAATGATATAAACAAGTTAGAAATCCACAGCTAACATAAAGCTGGATGCCACGCCAATATAGCCTTTTACACTGCGTCTTTCTCGGTGGCCCAGCGTTGTAGGTAAAATTACTATCCCTGTTTTGAGGGTGAATTTACTGCTCGAGCGCCATAAGGAAGACTGGTGGAAGCGAGGACGTGGCTCAGCGGTAAAGAGCCAGGGTTGAACTTATGGTTGTCTGAACCAAGAGACCTTAACTAATCTCAGGAGAGAGTGGGTTTTAAAAGGCATGATTAGGGCTGGGTATGAAGCTCACTGGTACAGCATTTACCTAGCATGCAATGCCCTGGGTTTGATTCCTAGGAAATCAAAGTAAATAAAAATGTAAGATTACAGTTTTTGAATGGAATGTAAAGCTATGTTCTTCAGCACCAGAGGTACCCAATAAATGACTGACTGAAGCACCAAGAAGGAACACAGCACCCCAGAGTTCCCCTTGACTTAATTCTTTTTACTGGTAGCAATTTGTTAGTTACATGAAAACATAAGAATCCCATTGACCAAATGTGGTACATTTACACAATGGATTACTACTCACTGGTAAAAAACAATGATACCTTGAAATTTGCATGCAAATGGATGGAACTAGAAAAAACATCCAGAGTGAGGAAACACAGATCCAGAAAGATGGGCATGGTATGTACTCATTTATAAGTGGATACTAGCTGTAAAGCAAAGCTAAGGAGCCTATAATCCATGATCCCAGAGAAGCTAAGAAACAAGGAGAACCCTAAGAGAAACGTATATAGATCCCCCTGTGATGTGGGATTCCCCTTTGTATACTGTGAATATGTTTTACAACCATTGGTTAATAATACAATTTGCTTTGACCTAGAGCAGGGCAGAATATAGTCAGGCTGGAAGAGATATAGCAAGAGAGTAGGTGGAGACAGGAAGATGCCATGTAGCTACTGAAGGAGACAGACATGCCAGAACTTTGCCAGTAAACTACAAGCCTCGTGGTAAAATATAAAAAGAAAATAGAAATGGTTTAATTTAAGATGTAGGAGTTATTTAATAAGATGCTTAAGCTAATAGGCCAAATGGTGTTTTAATGAATAGTTTCTGTGTAATTTTGGGGTCTGGGTGACTAGGAACACACAAGCAGTCTCCACCTACATCCTTGGGAAGGAGAAATAGGAAAGATCTCCTGAGAAAATTGGGAGCATGGGGGTGGGGAGAGAAAGAAGGGTAGAAGGGGAAGAGAAGTGGGGAGGAGGAGAATTTGAGGGAACGGGATAGTCAGGATGGGGGAAGGACAGAGGCAAAGAGCAAGGAAAGGGATATTGATTGAGGGAGCCATTATGGGGTTAGCAAGAAACCTGGTACTAGAGAAATTCCCAGGAATCCACAAGGAAGACCCCACCTAAGACGCTAAGCAAGAGTGGAGAGGATGCCTGATTGGGCCTTGTTCTGTAGTCAGATTGATGACTATCTTAAATGTTACCATAGAAACTTCATCTGATGGAACTGATAAAAGCAGAGAGCCACAGCTAAGCACTGGACTGTGCTCCCAAAGTCCAGTTGATGAGTGGGAGGAGTAAGAATATGAGCAAAGAGGTCAAGACAATGGTGGGGACACCCACTGAAACAGTCTATTTGAGTTAATGGGGGCTCACCAACTCTGACCTGACAGGGAAGGAACCAGAATAGGACCAAACTAGTCCCTCAGAATGTGGGTGACAGTTGTATGGCTGAAACACTGGCAGTGGGACCAGAATTTATTCCTATTGCTTGTACTGGCTTTTGGAACCCATTATTCTCGGAGGATCCTTGCTCAGCCTAAATACAGTAGGGAGGGCTGTTGATGGAGTGGCAGGCCGTGTTCCTGCTGCCCCGCTGCCCGGCTAGCTTATGTCCCGAAATAATTACACAGAAACTATATTCTTTTAAACACTGCTTGGCCCATTAGTTCTAGCCTCTTATTGGCTAATTCTCACATCTTGATTAACCCATTTCTAACAATCTGTGTAGCACCACAGGCTGGTGGCTTACCAGGGAGATTCTTAATCTGCATCTGCCTCGGAAAGGAGAATCATGGCGACTGCCTGACTCAGCTTCTTCCTCCCAGCATTCTGTTCTGTCTATTCCGCCTATCTAAGCTGCTGTCCTATCAAAAGGGCCAAGCAGTTTCTTTATTAATTAACCAATGAAAGCAACAGATAGACAAATGACCCACCTCCATCAGAGGGCTTTGGTCTTTCCTCAAAGCCGTGTGCTTCACCCTCTCTGAGGGGTGTGGTGTCAAGAGAACGTGGAGGGAATGGGAGGAGTGGAGGGAGTGGGAACAGGGATTGGTATGTAAAATGAAAAAGACAGTTTAAAAAAGATAAAATAAAAAGGGAAAAAAGTATACAAAATCCTAACAGTCCCAACATTGTTCCAGAGTCTAGAGACTCTTCTGAGACTGGGGGAAATCTTTTAACTTCTTAAACATTAAAGACAAAACAAAACAGGCTGCCTACTTCCAATACACCAAGGCACAGAATAACATCCATATTCTGAAAGGAAAGAATGGGGACATAGTAAGAAAAGATCGTACCAAAGCAAGATCAACACACTCAACAGGTCATGTTTAGCATCTGAGCTTTGTGGCAGCATTATCTGGTATTCAGATGCTTAGGAAGCCCTGGCTCTTCTGGTCAGCTACCTGAAGCACAGGTAGCTTCTCCCTTGACCCAGCTCAACTCTTCTTTTTCACTTTCTTCGGTGGATGCTGCTCTTCCCCCAAGTCCTGGCATCTCAACCAGCCTGCAGTTTCCATTGCAACATAGATTTTATTTCACAGAGTCATACAATGGCCTCTCAACGGCCCCTTGCAAGAATCCAATGATCTACCTACTGTATAATCTCAGTGACTTTCTGGAACCTTGCTATAAGCTTCCATGACCTCATAACTCTTGTATTATTCATACTTTTAAAAGCAGGACCATGTGGATGATGTTTCTAAGGTTTACTGTCAGCTCAGGATATGGTTTGTTCTTAGTCCATTATCACAGGTATGCTCTATGGCTGAACCTGGGGCTACTTATCTAGAGTTTTGAATAGGAAACCTGCTCAGTTTTACTCTCAATTCTTCTCTCTTCTTTCAAATGAATTTGCAGTTTAGAGGTTAGAACTTCCTGTGGGTTGGGTCCTGCTCCCAGGGTATCCTACTTCCTATTTTTCCAGTGAATGCACTAATCTCTTTAAGTGAGCTGTGCCTGCCTTCTTTGGCTACATCTTTAAACTCTGTTACACTTCTTTCCTGGCCAAACAGCCATAATTCTTATTTCCCCGCTCTCTCACTGTAGAGCTGAGAGTGCTCAACACGGACCACCTCACAGTCTGGGTATTATGTTGTCTTGAAGTTTCCTCCATCAAACAACTTAGTCCAGGACTTTCGATTTCAGCCTCACTCATTGGTTCAAGACACAGAAGGCAGTCCTCATCCTTGCGACATTATAGCATGAGTGGCCTCTACCTCAGTTCCCGATACAGTCCTTTTCCATTTTGAAAGTTCTCACACAGGGCTTCCAGTGTCCACCTTTCCCGCAGCATACTTATCTCCTAAACTCGGTCGGAATGACCCATTAGCCTCTGTTCACAGGTCTCAGGCTTCTCTAGTCTGCACCTCCAAACCCTTCCACATCCATCTGCAAACTGAATCTTATAACTACCGAGGCCAGGTCTGTGACAGCAGTGACCCTACTGCTCAGATCCATGACAGCAATGGTCTTAATTCTTAGCACCAGTTTTCTGTGTCAGTTACTTTTCTTATTATATGATGGGACACAGTAGCAGCAATTATGAACTGACTGATCATATTGGGTCCATAGTCAGCTTTCAAAATGGAACAGGTCTCTATTAGAAACTGAAATAGAGGTCACTCATACTATAATTTGGCAAAAGTATGATTACCTTCCGTGTCCTTAAATTCTTTCACAGAGAGGGATGAAAGCTTGTTCTTAGCTTCATGTATTCCTTTTTCCCCAGGTGGCACTTCAGCCAATCGCATGGATAACAGAACCCACATTCAGGGTGGATCTTCCTTCCTCAGTTAAATATCTTTGAAAATACCCTCACAGGTACACCCATCAGACACATCTCTTGGACATTCGGGATGCAGTTAAATTGACAATGAAGACTAATCCTCACAAGAGCCTAGC